GTACAGTATAATTTATCAGCGAGGACTTCAAAAGCACAAATCATGACCTCGGTATCAAGAAAGAAAAGTTCTTAGATGACCCTCAACTCAAAGGAGGGTGTAATATCAATGCATTTAATAAAAGGGCATTAAATATTCAGGTTATTTGGAGAAATGAGATCACTTCACAGAAGAGTTTCCTCAACTTTACCTTACTTTAGATCAGGGGTGTCAAACATAAGGCCCGGGGAGCCAGAATCGGCCCAGTGAAGACCCTGATCCGACCCACTGGACGGCTTTGGAAAATGTGAAAGATGACATACATTTTAGACTTTGAACTGTTGGCTATTCATATCACACCAAAGTAATTTAATTATAGATTTCTCTAATTTTACGCTTCATTTTTTAATATTTAACTCCAGAGAGCTTAAACTTTATCATGTAGAACAACTGAGACACATTGTTTATATTCAGCTTGTTTTTCTTATGTTAAGAAATCTCATTGGTTAAACGTGCAGCTAAATTTCTTTACACTGACTGAAAGGAGAGTTTCACTCATCTGACAAACTTAATTATTCGTAACGATGATTTATTAGCGAGTTTAGCTGAGTTTCAGCTAATATTATTACCATTTTGTAAATATTTGTGTGATAACGGTCTATGTACTCGTCTGTTTTGTTGTTTGTCTCTCTCTCCAGTGAGCTGGACTACCACGATGCTGCTACAGTCAACACCCGCTGCCAGGGTATCTGTGACCAGTGGGACAATCTGGGCACTCTCACCCAGAAGAGGAGGGATTCACTGGAGGTAAAACTAAACAGCAATCAGCTGCTTATGTAAACAACTCACTGAACACATGTTACAGTTTTTTGTCTGGAAAGACAGCTGGGCTCGTCTCCAGCCTTCCTGAGACCGTGAGCTGGATGAGTGGAAATGAGTGCATGAATGATGAGGGAGGCGATGGGGAGGATGCGGGATGCACAACAGGTGGTGCAAAACTGCTGATTGCAGTTATTGTACACAGCAGGGGCTAGCAGCTGATTGGCTGGGAGGGTGTGGTCAGGCTTAGATGATTGGATAATATGAGTGACACTAAAAAAAATTACATAAATGATTTTGAGAGTGTGGGAAACTCAAGATAAAATAACATGTTTTACACAGAGATAAAATTTTGATTAGTGTAATATGAATTTGAGTTTTGGTGATTAGAGGCCAACACTAGGAGCAGGCGGCAGTGGAGGAAAGTCATTTCAGCTTCAGTTGTAGTGCACAGGTCCAGAGATCTGAGTACACTTTTATATGGTTCGAATATTATAAATAGAAACTCAAGAATACGCTGCGAGCAAGCAAGAAAACTGAAACAAGTAAGCTGAACGAGTTTCTGGGGTGGCCGTCTGCCTCAGAGAGAGCAGGGGGTCAGGAGGAGAGTGTAGGGACAAAAAGGAGAGAGTTGAGAAGCAGCAGGTAAAC